CACGTTCAAAAACTGTAATGCTTTTAAATCTCAGGATGACACATCCGATTATGACAGGCCTTCAGACATTTGTAATTTAAAGATCATAAGAAGAAAGGGATTTGTTAGTTTTGCTTCTGAATAGGAAAGGAAGTCATATTTTAGTATATTCTTCTGCAAAGTCTGTATCCCAAACTAGCATAAAAATATTGAGAGGTAAATCACAAAAGCAGCTAAGAAAAGATTTTCAAAATGAAAACAACCAACCTTTTGTGGTTCAGATTAATTTAAATTAGAATTGCTTTCCGATTCAGGAGTTGTCTCTTTTTTTTGTTGCAGTTTTTGGCCAGGGCCAGGTTAAGAACCCACCACTTCTGGCATATGGGGCTGGCACCCTACTCCTTGAGCCACAGGCACCGCCCTTAGGTGTTGTCTCTGAACAAGACTCTTATCTCAGATAAAGCAAAATCTCAACATTTCTCAAATGTCAAACCTATGCCATACAGAAAACTGAATAGGTTACAAGGGTCTTCCTTTTTAATTTCCCTTTTGCAAAAGTATTTTTAAAAAATAAGGCATAATTTGCTTTATAAATTGTTATTAGTACAGATTCTTTCTCCATGAAATTAAAGGTCACTATAATTGTCTTCTGGCAAGTAACATAAAGTACCAAATAACTTTAAGGTTACATAAGCCTAGATTTTGGAAAATGTACGAAACCACCTTATGAACTACAAATCAATATATATGTGTGTATATATATATATATATATACACAAATAATATATATATGTGGCATTGTGACTGTTATTATAGATACTGTACTTTGAAAATAATGAGTATAATTGGACAGATTTAATTCCCTTTATCAAGGGACTATTTTTTATTTACTTATAAGCGCTAGATCTGAATACAAAATGTGAGACTTTGTGTGTCAATGAACTCAATGCTTGTGTATACCTCAAACATCTCTATCTGGCAGGGCACAATGAGCCTCCTAGACAGAGCTAGAAAAACTATATATTCTAACCTTCTTTGTGGCTCAACGAATCTTTTATTATTCTCCTTACAAGCTGTCATTTCTGAATTACGCTGGGATGTATAATTTATATTCCTGAAACAAAGCACCAAGGCTAAGCCAGCGTGTGCTGAGCCTCAACATGTGAGTTCCATGTTTTCTTGAATTTCATGACTTTAAATTTCAGCAGGGGTTGCATAAAAAATAAAAGATATTACACTACTGACTCCACAAAAGCAAACCTGGCATTTCAAACTACCCACAGGATGCTAGAATTTTTGCTTTAGTACCCACTTACGCTCTGAACTCCAGCTGGGTCAATCTGTGATGGTATAGTGCACTAGCAATGAAAAAAAAATCTAGCCAGATTGATGCAGTCTTACCATCCACAAGGCCAACAGTCAGCCATATTAAGCTTTAGCGAGGCATTTATTCTCTCCGATGGCTGATTGTGTCCACATTAAATAGACATTCTTTTCATGAATGCACAGAGATGATATGATCGATACGAATAATAAGCTCAGCAACTTCAGGAATACCACTGAGGAGGACTGGGCTAAATGCTGCTCTACTCAATCAAAAGAGATCCCTTAATGAGACATCAGTCTCCCCTAACATCTAATTTCTTTCACCGAGCAAAGTGTCTGATTCAAGAATGACAGTCCCTGGGCATACAAATCAAGGTCCTACATCAGTGGTCTGGCAGCAGAAATCTCCAAGGATGAGGCTTACACCTTGAATCAAAAAACCAATTCCCAACAGCATTAACAGCCAAGTCCAAGTCATCCTATTGGTTGGTGTGCTGTTTGCCCCAATCTCCAAGGGAACTATGCCAACAAAACAGAGTATCTTTTGCATAGTAACTTCTGGATACCACATCCAGGTTTGTAGATCATGCACATCTGGGTGCCACTTTCTCTGGGTTAACTTCTGAAGTCAAACAAAGGCTACAGATGTATAATTCATGGGGTGACCTCCAGCCCAGGATATAGATTTGTTTGTTTTAGTACAGCTGCAAATCCATTCTGTCTCTGAAAATCAATCCCAGAGGTGAAATCCAGAAGTTTTAGACATTTAGGTAAAAACTGCAACCTTAACTGGATTATTAACACCAAATTCATACTATTTGAGTATCTTAACTGCATCCATTTAGTTTATGGTTTCTGCTGAAAATTCAGCGGCTTCATGGAACAATCAATATGAACTTGATGTATTCCATAATTTTTGAGTTACTATAAATGTCAGGGAAAATAAACTCTAAAATATTCCCTTTCTTGTCGTGGAAAATAAAAATAAACACCTTAATGTTAGATGACTGCAAAAGCAGAAAACAAAAGGTCTGTAAAGCCTCAAGCTATAAATCTTCAACCTTTCATGAAAGGAGGAGCAAGATGAAGGAGAAAACAAACACCAAAGTTTTTGTAGTTTAGCTACAATCATAGACTATTACTGTATTACCCCAAGGAACCCTAAGGAACAAAGAACTTAAATTTTTTAATTTCTAGGCAAAGTTTGGTGCTAGATATCACATGGGTTCATTATGTGGTAAATCAAAGCAAATGAAATAGATTTTTGCATTTATCATCCAAGAAACATATTATATTATGGCCTATGAGGTTTTCCAAGTCTTCCTGGTAGGACGTTCTGTTATTTTTTTCAGCTTTTTTTCACATTATTATCCTTTTAAAAATAATTTTCTATTAAAAAAGTTATTCTTTTCTTGTGTAAGTGTCTCATTTCTTAGATGTGTATTTTTTAAAAGGTGGTAAAAGGTAGTAAGAGTTAAAATGCAGAGAGAGTTTTGAGGTAGGAATGTTCAGTAATAAAACAAGCTACTGTAACAAGGGAAGTTATGAAATTTGCTTCCCCCCAAACCATCACCCGACATTTCTCCTGGGAGACTTAGGAAAGGAAACTGAAGTTGGGTCTCTTAAAACTCTCAGTTAGTTTTAGGATTCTGAAAAATCAAAGAGCTTCTACTCATATGAGAAATAAAATACCTTTTTAAAAGGAGTTTCACAATTATAGTGATCACAGATCATGAATTTTACTAAGTCACAATTTCAAATGTTTTATCATTATTCCCATAAACCATCGATATGTGCCAGAATATTTTCGCATCTGAACCACATTTTGCAGACTGCTCTTGCCCTTGGAAGTAACACAAAAATCCTCTTTCATACCATGCAGTCCAATTTGGGTTTGGAAAATAGGTCACTATAATTATAATGATAATGTCTAACACTCTTATAGCACTTTATAGTGTTTCCACATCCTTTAATTCTCTTGTTCCTTTCAATAACCCCTATGTGTTAGGTATTTGATTTCCACAATAAACTTTTGGTGAACTAATGTACCATCCTCATTTTACAGAGAAAATTAGAGTATCTAGCCGGTAAAAGACGGGCATAAAAGATCACCCAGTAAAGGCAGAACTAAAATACAAACCTTCTAATTCTTATACCAGGTCTCTTAGTATTATAAATTCTATACAGTCCAATGTGTCAGCAATTCCAAAGAAGCTACCTCCCTGGGCCATTCAAAGAGTCGCTAAGAAATCATACCACGAGATGTCAATATCATATATGCTGAGGTTTCTAACCAGGGCATAGCTACCTATGTTGGGACTTCACTTGCTTTCAAATTTGAACATTGATCTCTATTCTCCTTAATTACTTGTATTGTTGGAACAGTCGTGCTTAAAATTCACAATTAAAATAGAATCTTTTCATTTTATAGCGTCTTGACATCACATCTGATTCTAATCACTTTGTACCCCTAATACCTAATTTCCTGACCTCTTCCTTTCCCTCCCCCAAGTCCCTTCTCTCACCTCCAAGACTCCTAAGGAAAAAAAGACAATCCCACTATTTAGTCTGAAAGCATGACCTCTTTCTTAAAATTTAAAAACTATGAGAAGGTCACAGAAAGATAACTGGAAAGAACATTTTACTATTTCCTCACTACTCCTGAGTTTTTCCTATGCCAGCAAAATCATTTTTGTTGGATCTTAATTCCCAGGACATTCAGTTGACACCCTCCTTAGGCAACCAGAAGTACTATTCAAATGTCAAAGTTCAGTTTAAAATTTTTTTTTTTTTTTTGAGACAAAGCCTCAAGCTGTCCCCCTGGGTAGAATGCTGTGGCATCACAGCTCACAGCAACCTCCAACTCCTGGGCTCAAGTGAGTCTCCTGCCTCTGCGTCACAAGTAGCTGGGATCACAGGCACCCACCACAATGCCTGGCTATTTTTTTTGGTTGCAGCCATCATTGTTGTTTGGCGGGCCCAGGCTGGATTCGAACCTGCCACCTTAGGTGTATGTGGCTGGTGCCTTAGCCACTTGAGCCACAGGCGCCAAGTCTAGTCTAAATTTTTTATATATATTTTTCATTAGTCAACCTAAATAATTTTGATTTGAACATTTTACCAGGTAAGTAATAAAAAGTTGACTTCAAGAGACTTTGAAAATAGTAGTAATTATAAATTCTAAAAATATCTCTGAAACACAAGTACTTCAAGATAGTCACAAAGAACTGATAATTTTACTTATATTGAAAACACCAAACAGACTTTAAAACATAGGGAGGCATCACTGCTTTTTTTCACATCAGGCCTTGCATGCGTTTTCAAGTTGTATCCTACCCAAGAGAGCAGGAAATATTCAAGGAGCTCCCAATCATTCCCCCAAATGAGGGAAAGCCATGCCTTCCCCCAACCCACAAACATATTTCTCATTTTCACTCCAAGTCCCAGTTCTGGTAAGTTATGTCATCTATTCCAAACACACTCTAAGTTACTTGAAGGCAGAAACATTTTATTTCGTTTTATGCCTCACCTAGCACAATGCCTTGTCCTTAGAATGCACTCAGTAAGTGTGCTAATACATTTGGATACATTCACAATTTTTTTAGAATGTATAAATACAGAGAAATGATCAAACGAAAGTCAGGAATACCTGATTCTAAAAATAAATATGTAAAAGTTTTAAAAGTTTAATATGTGTGCTCGCTTCAGCAGCACATATAGTAAAATTGGGAAGATACAGAGAGGAAGAGCATGGCCCCTGCGCAAGGATGACACGCGAATTCATGAAGCGTTCCGTATTTAAAAAAATATATAATACGTAGTGCCAGTGAGCACCCTCATACTTGTGGGAATTTACATTGGTACGGCTTTTAGAAAGAGTAATTTGACTCTAAACACTAAAAGCCCTAAAATTTTTACATACCCTTGGACTCAGCAATTTTATTTCTAGGTATTTTGGGAACTATCCGAGGGAAACAGGTACAGAACTATGTATGTTCAGGAATGTTTATCTCACTGTTCTTTTCTTAGAAACAAACTAAATGCCAAACAAGAATTTGGTTAAATAGGTGATAGTTTAGTAGTATAATGGAATACTATTTTGCCACTAAAATATATGCTATAGATAAATGTTTACTGCCATGAAAAACTATTAACAGCATATTAAGCCTTAAAAGAAAGTATGAGATCACTTTTGTTTTTCATAAAAACTATATATCACACATAGGAAAGGGCATGAAGAAACATATCAAAATATTGACAGTAATTGTGTTGCTGGGAAAATTATAGGCTTTGACTTTCTTTTTGATTATTTTTGTTTACTATTTTTATCATGTCCATGTATTATTTTTATTAAAATACAATTATTATTATTATTATTATTATTTTTTAGAGACAGAGTCTCATTTTATCACCCTCGGTACAGTGCTGTGGCATCACAACTCACAGCAACCTCCAATTCCTGGGCTTAGGTGATTCTCTTGCTTCAGCCTCCTGAGTAGCTGGGACCACAGGCACCCACAATGCCTGGCTATTTTTTTGTTTTGCAGTTTGGCCGGGGCCAGGTTCGAACCCGCCACTCTCAATATATGGGGCCAGCACCCAACCCACCGAGCTGCAGGTGCCGCCCATAAAATACAACTATTTTTAATTAGAAATTAACACATAGTCTCTTTCACAGACAATACCGTCAGGCATAGTCACAGTTCTAATGACAATAAAAAAGATCTGTCAGTTACATTACTTAACTTCAAAACATTCTGACACACATTATCCAAGAAAGTGGAGCGCACAAGAAATACTTTCAAAGGGAAAGGAAACTCCCAATCCTAACCAATTTATAAGGCAGGAAAAAAAATGCTAGTATTGCTGATAGTTAAGGTTACAAATAATAGAACGATGGTTATTTTTGGAAAATAGTTTATCTGCCTTCCCATCTCCATGTGTTCCAACTGACTCCTGGGGTAGATTTCTATTAAGCTTGGTTGAACTTGCTGATAGAGATAAAGAAATGGAATCTGCAAAAGAGAGACAGAGTCTTGTTTAAGTTCCAGAGTGAAATGGGAATTGAACTTGGTTAGAAGTCAGTTTCTAGCTCTATTCCCAGGCTGGCACAGGGGTTGGTCTAAGTTGTCTCTCTTAACACAGACACAGTGTATCAGTTTTATTTTATGGTTTTGCCAAGCAAAAGGTAGAAGGAAAAATTAAATAACATAAAAGAAATATTTGAAGAGCCCTTTATAGATTACAAAGCATTTCCACATTCATGATGCCACTGGATGATATGGTGTAGTGAGAACGAACCACTCCCTACGGATGACCCTTTATAGGGTCATCAACATGCATGAAATAATATGAGTGGCTGGACACCCACTCTTCATACAGACTATACATTGAGCCCTGCTGCTTTTATCTAAACTAGAGCTTTCTAGGTTGAAATCCTTTGAGGATGGTCTCTGTACTCCATTTTAGTTCACATTGCAGCCTCGTTCTCAGCCACAACACAATGATCTTTAATGCAAAGCACACATCATAACATCAACTCACAACTTTGACTTGGAACAAGCCAGAGAAGAAAGTCTTGTTAACTTATTGATATATTCTAAATTGTACGGCAATACAGTTGGCATATGAAACCAAAATCGTGTGGTTGTACATATGAAATCTACGGTATTTTATTGTTTTGTTGTGTCATACAGCAGATAATCACATCCTGTGTTGATGTCTGCTGCCAGGACATCAAATGTCCCAAAAGGGTCAAGCAAATGCTGTGAAATTGTGAATACTGGCCCTCAGGCTAACATTGTGGCAGGCATGGCAGGTGTACAGCTGTGTGCAGCTGTGTCCTTTCACAGCTGCAGAACTGACTGAAAAATCACCAAGACTTGTTACATTGTTTTCCTGTCTGGGCCAAAGCCATTGGCCTTAAAGCAGTAGAGTTCCACAGGCCTCTGGTTATATAAGAGATATTAACACCCATCAGTCTACAGATCCTAAAATATACATTCCGTGAATCTCACGTACCACATGCTTTCATGTCTGTTTACATGTTTCAGTTAGCATGATGAAAAACAAAATACTCTCGTTTTTTTTTTCTTCTTCTTCTATCCTGTAATATCTCCTCTCTTTTAGGAAAATACTCGATCATCTTATTAGCTTGAGAGTGCAAGTGTGGCTGACTTCCCATTCCACAGGAGGAAGTTTTAGACTTCATGATTTCTCTACTTCACCTTCTACTATGCCTAATAATTTTTTTAAATATGAAAACTCAATAAATAAAAGAGACATTTTCCCTCAGAAGATATAAAGACCAAAAAACACTCCACTCGCCCTAACCAGAGACTATCCTCTTGTGGAACTCTCCTTTTTAAAGAGGCTCTTCTGCTCACTAATAGTTGCCCTTTTTTGAGGTGCTGGTTTGGACTTTCCTTTAAAAATTCTGTTACCTCTTGGTTTCTATAAGTCTGTCTTTCACACAAGACGAGAGGGGCTTGGCTTCTCAGAGCAGTGCTTGGCAAGCACGGAGGCAGGAAACGCAGAAGGGAACGAGTCTGTCAGACTCATTTTCTTCTAGTTCAAATGTTTATTTCAGATTTGGGAGGAAGTGGAGTGGTTCCTTTCCATTTCCTCGTCTCTGGAACCTGCGAGTTGTATAAGGCTTGGAGAATGGCGCTGTACCACACTTCATACCAGTTCCCAGATGGAGAAAGAGACTCTTCCCAGAACCACCCCCCAAACTTTAACACAGCATAAGGCATAGCTGTGCAAGCCCTCTCGGGATCGATGGGCTTAGACTAGAACCTTGCGGAGGGCAACTGAGAGCAAAGCTGAGGTCTCAAGAACATCTTACACCTGCTCCCAAGGGGCAAGGGCTGTATCTCCCGTGACATTAGTCTCCAGCCCTGCCACGTGGCACACCTGAGGCCACTGCTCAGCAAAGGAGGTCTGACGTGATTTGGGAATGCCACAGCAGGATCTGGTCACAAGCCCACTATCTAAGTTCCTTGGACTTATTCCTTCTGACCCCAGGGTAGAGTTTCAGCAGCAAAAAAAAAATACATATACCTGTTTTAGTAATGAGCTGATTTCAACCTTAAACATATTGACTATTTGAATCCACACCCTGATCTCTTTCTTTTTTTAAAGAAAAAAAGTCAAGCTATTTATCTTATTAGCTCAGCTTTGCAACTTGCTTTATTGTCGATGCTATTGACTCAGGTCATTTTTAATGCTACATGGAGACCATCAGAAACCAAACTAGAAAACCTTGCGGTAAGTTCACTACTAAATTCTAACAGATGTGCCTGACTCAAACTGTAGGCATCAAGACTGAAGCATAATTTTAGGTACAAATTACTTACTGAGAATATTTATAGATAGAAAACTTCTTCAGCAAAGGAGATACCCTATGACATTTAACACAGATTATCCTACAATTTAGCAATTGATGAAGAAGTCAAACATTGTAAGCGTATTAATTATGGTCTGTTTAGGGAAGCTTCCAGGATGGAGTGCTAATCACATTGGTTTTGTCAGAGTTTTAAGAGATAAAAATCTGACTCCTTATCTCTACTTATAGTTTGGATTTTTATAGTTGTATTAGTGCTTGAAAGCTGCTGATGGAAAAAGATCTATGGGCACAAAATATATATCCTCAAGTACAACAATATTTACCTTTCACAAATATTTACACCTATATGCCTATTAGTACAAACTAGTTTTTATATTATATCTACCATGTTCAACATGAACTTCTAAAACTACTTAACCCTTCTATATGTCAGAGTTTCCTGCTGACATTCATTTATTATGATATATGCGAGCTAACAGTATATCAGAGACATATTACATTAGATACAATCACAATATCCACCTTAGAAGCTACACGTAGTCAAAATATAAATTGCACTGCCATCGGATTTTTTTTAATCCTCCTTATCAATAACTAATTACATGTGATATACTACTTTTAAGTACAGTAAGATAACCAGCCTTTTTAATCAGGAAAAAAACAGAATAAGGGAAGAAGAAAAGGAAAAATTAAAAAAAAAAAAACATTATAAAGGTCATAGTGAGACAAACATTTCTTCTCGGAGGTATTTTCACTGAAGTTCACTGTAAGCAAGCTATGCCAAGTCATGTACTTTTCACACACAAAATTATATTGTATCAAATTTAAATTTGTTACAACTGCCATGTACATTAAACTAGCGATAAGGAAAATGTAACTCAATATCTGATCTAGTGAAACAGCAACCAACATTAGCTCTCAGCCACAGGAAGACAATCTCCCATGCCATTACTGGTGTCAGCTAAACCTCAGCCAGTTTGTCTTCTCCAGCCATTTTTAAAGAAATATGTGACTATCTTCATTAGGAAACCTTGAAGGGAGTCTCTGTGATGAGGCAAGTTTGTTGCTCATCTTCAGTGCCCTGCATTTGCTGTACTTAAAATAGACACTGTACCAATGTCCTTTCTATTACCCTAAGGGGAAAAAAAAAATCACATACACACCAGTCCTTTTTCTTTCAGCTCACAGAGAAGCAACTCAATCCAACCAGTGTTGAAACCTGAGTAGGTCACTGTACACCACGATAAAATTCCCTAATCCCTGAGCCAAATCTCCCTAAGGGGGGCCTCCTCCTGACCCTCCACTTCCCAGGCTGACTTTTCCATTTGCTCTCTCCTCTTTCCCCCTTTCATTTCCCCTACCTTCAAGCCTTGATATGTGATCCCAAGTAGGGGCTCAGGTTTCCGTTTTTACAGCTTAGGCCACGCTAGCTGTATACATTCCTTTCTTTCTGC